TGGACTGCAAGGCGATCCAACCGGTCAGTCCTAGAGGAGATCAAACCCGACTGCTCTTTCAAAGGCCAGATCCTGAAGTTGAAACTCAAGTCCTTTGGCCACCTAATGAGAAGGAAGGACTCACTGGAGAAGAGCCTAATGCTGGGAAAGATGGAGAGCAATGGAAGAAGGGGACGACAGAGAATGAGGTGGCTGGATGGAGTCCCTGAAGCAGGAGGCGTGAGCTTCAATGGACTCCAGAAGATGGTAGAGGACAGGAAGACCTGGAGGAACGTGGTCCCTGGGGTCGCGATGGGTGGGACACGACTTTGCAACTAACAACAACAACAACAAAAGGGATAAACTCGCACAATGAACAACATTTCACCCTGTGACATAAACAGATTTTTTTATATATATATATATATAAAATCTCTTCTTATTGCAAGGTGACATTTGCTAGGTGCTGCCCGTAAGCATGACAGCTTTGCGGGCGGAAAGAAGATAAAAAAGTCCTGCATCTTTCTCCATGCTCTCCAGGGAACGACAGCCGTTGCAACAATTAAAATCTCTACATTAAATCTATACATTTAATGGCCCGTGTCTTATGCGAAGCCGTGGGTGACTGGCTCTAAACCCGTTTAATAGCCTTAGGAAAATCCGCATGCTCTACAGTCTTTAAGTGACATTGATGTTTCTGCCACTCTGAAGCTACTCAGTCATAACCAGCTTTTTAATACACCACGGTAGGTTTACTGGCCTTGGTGGGAAAGGAAGCGGTGGTAATACTTCTTTTGCCCACTTTAAAAAAAAGAAAAACGAAAAAAAAAACCTTGATCTAGCCCTTAAGAGTCACTTGAGACAAATGGAAGCTATTTAAAGGCAGTTAATGATGCTGCTTAGATTTTTAGAAAGTTAGAGTGGGAGTGTGAATCACTGTCAGAAGAATTGCTAATCACTGTTATTTAAAGAAGAGGTGTACCTGAGGCTTCATTAAAATATAAAGTGTTGGCACCCTTTGGAGCAATTATACCTGACAGGCATGGGTGGCTCCTTCCCCGGGTTGCGAGTCTCCAGTCATCTGTATGGTGAGGCAGTGGTACGTTTTGCACATTCTTAAAAAAAAAGAAAAAAAAACCAGAAAAGCAATTCTTTAGGGGGTGATCCGAGTGTATTGGCTGCGCGAAGTCCTGTTCTCTGCAAAAAAGGGGAAAAAAAGGAAACGTCGATGAACAGACTGTGTTTTCAAAGACAAAGGACTGGGATCCATTGGAAAACAGCGCTTACCTTGATAGATGGTAAGGGCTTTGTTTAATAACAACAACAACAACAACAACAACAACAACAACAACAACAACAATAATAATAATAATAATAATAATAAAGTTGGAAGGGACCTTGGAGGTGAATGGAATGGAATGGAATGAAGTGGAGTGGAATGGAGTAGAGTAGAGTAGAATAGAATATAGAGAATAGAATAGAATAGAATGGAATGGAATGGAATGGAATGGAATGGAGTGGAGTGGAGTGGAGTGGAATGGAGTAGAGTAGAGTAGAGTAGAGTAGAGTAGAGTAGAGTAGAGTAGAGTAGAGTAGAGTAGAGTAGAATAGAATATAGAGAATAGAATAGAATGGAATGGAATGGAATGGAATGGAATGGAATGGAGTGGAGTCGAGTGGAGTGGAATGGAGTAGAGTAGAGTAGAGTAGAGTAGAGTAGAGTAGAGTAGAGTAGAGTAGAGTAGAGTAGAATATAGAGAATAGAATAGAATAGAATAGAATAGAATAGAATAATAGAGTTGGAAGGGACCTTGGAGGTCATCTAGTTCAACCCCCTGCTCAGGCAGGAAACCCTATACTATTTCGGACAAATGGCTGTCCAATCTCTTCTGAAAAACTTTCAGTGTTGAAGCATTCACAGCTTCTGGAGGCAGGTTGTTCCACTGGTTAATTGTTCCAACGGTCAGGAAATTCCTCCTTAGTTCTAGGTTTCAATGGATAGATGCATTCAAGAAGACCTGAGTGTGGTCTGTGGTTGGGGAATCTTCTATTCGCCGTGGCGAATCTATGAGGATTCGCCATGGCCAACTCGCCACGGGACAACTTGCCACAGGACCACTCTCCACAGCCAACTGTATACGGGACAACTCGCTGTGGAACAAGAGTTGACACTAATATCATAGAAATGGTGGAATAGAATCATTAAAGAAAAGATGCAAAAGGAGGGACGGAATGAAACGGGAATGGCAAAAATTAAAATACTTTTTAAAATGTATTTTAAATAATTAAATTGAAATTAAATTGTGGCGTGTTGGCTGCAGCGAGTGGTCCCATTCCGCCCTCAGGAAGAATAGAAAAACGTGAGGGAGAATGAGAACAGATCATCTCGGATGTTGCCATGCTGACTGGTGAGATCTCTGAAAAACGGAGCGCTTACTCTTGGTCCAGTTTCCCGGGTGAAAAAGCTGATTGTTGGCTGTGTCAAAATTGCTCTTGGGGGAAAAAAACGTGGGAAGAAGAGTCTCTGGCAGGGGTCTTCAAACTCGGCCCTTTTATGACTCAGGGACTTCAACTCCCAGAATTCCTCAGCCAGGCTTCCTGATTAGTTTCCATTCCTTGCTTCTTGTCCTGCCTTCAGGTGCTCAGCCAGGCATGCTAGCTGAGGAATTCTGGGAGTTGAAGTCCACAAGTCATAAAAGGGCCAGGTTTGAACACCCCTGACCAAGGCCTTTAAGATCTGTGGACTTCAACTCCCAGAATTCCTCAGCCAGGCACGCTGGCTGAGGAATTCTGGGAGTTGAAGTCCACAAGTCATAAAAGGGCCAGGTTTGAAGACCCCTGACCAAGGCCTTTAAGATCTGTGGACTTCAACTCCCAGAATTCCTCAGCCAAGCACGCTGGCTGAGGAATTCTGGGAGTTGAAGTCCAC